CCCCCAAAACCCCAAAACCCCAAAACCCCAAAGGATAGCAACCTAATTGAAACATATATATAAATTATTCATCAACATCATCAACTTTCTTCCTATGCTCAGGGATATATGGGAGAGCTCCAGGCTTGCTATTAGCTCGGATATTAGCTTCCTTTCTATTCTTACTCTCTCGCTGAATGTGCTTAATGTTGTGGTACTTCTTAATCAATTTAGGCACATGCTTGTGTAGAAGAATTCTCTTGATTTCCTTATTATATGCAAATTTCTTTTTAACCTATTTGAGTAAGCAATCTTTTCCTTTTCTTTAGAGAGCATTGGATTGAGAGAATATGAAGCATGTGATTTCCAAATTCTGACATTAGTGTCTTCACTTCCAGAGATTATAAATTTACTATCCATTGAGTAAGCAATTGCATTAACTTGCTGCATTCTCTTGGTATGATAGACTTCTCTTGATCTTCCATTGTTGTACCCAAAAATTCTTATAGATTTATCATAACTTCCTTTACAGAATTCTTTCCCTGTTGGCGAGAAGTCAATTGAGATGAATGGCATTTGTGTGATCTTTATGGATCATTTTGGCTTCATCTAATTTTCTCATATCAAATGTGTATCAGTTAGAGTCTTCATTCCCAACAACAAAATTTATTGGCTCGTATGGATTCCAAGTCAAACAACTTGATTTGTTCTTTAAGAAAAGTCTTTTTAATGGAGTATTCTCTCTGATATCATAAAGACAGATATTTCCATCCGAAGCAGATTCTAATATTAAATTTGTTTCAGAGAGATTCCACTTAAGCTTATTTACTGCATCCATTCCCCAATCAAATTTACTTATTGGCTCAGATCTTTCATAATCCCAGACTTGAACTATTGACTCAGAAGTGGCAAATTTAAGCTCTTCATAGTTGTGGTCCACATTAAACAAGATTGATTTACTCATATATTGAGCTTTAGGTTTGTATGTAACAATATTTCTTTCTTTTGGTTCTCTTTCTGTTTGTTTCAGTTGCTCAAAGATCAAATTTTAACAAATTAGTCATCTCCACTTGACAAAAATAGAGTGTCTGTCAAATTTACTGCTGCTGGGTTAGGTTATGTAAGACCTCTAATAGAATTCAGGTGACCACTTATAATATGATACTCCGTCTTTGAGTAGAGATTCCACATTCAGATTATACCTTCATGATCTCCTGTAATGAAATCAACCATGGAGTTTAAGTTCTTAGCCATAGTGGTGATTCCGTCTGTATGGGTGTCTAAAGCAGCAAGGAAAGGCTTAGATAATATTTTTCTACCATAGCAGCAGTAAGAGCTCTTTGATATTCTCTAGCTTCTTGGAATGGATTTAGAGACGAGTCTGGATTTCTCTGCATCTTCAAAACATCTTTGGATGATTTCTTCTCATAATCTTTGGGGTTCCTACAAATAGCTTTTACTTTAATCGTTTTATTTATTAATACACCATATTTTTGGGGTTTTGGGGTTTTGGGGTTTTGGGG